CGCGGGGGGGGGGGGGGGGGGCTCGCTCCTTTGGCTCCGCGTACGTCCACATGACGAGGCAGCGCAGGTAAGGCACGCCCTGGCCGTTGATTTGGGGGTGGAAGAGGGGCGTGGTGAAGCGGACCGCGGGCGGCGCGTCGGGGAAGTCCGGCGGGAAGACCATCTCGACGGTGAACATGCCTCCGTCCCAGGGCGAGTCGGGAGGGCCGAAGAGGGTCGCCGTCCACACGCATGCGTTGGCCGGGTCGGCGCCTAATGAGTGTTAATTAGTGTTAATTAATCTTCATTAGTGTTGCCGCACGCGTTGTCCGGGTCGGCGCCGATTGAGGCGCCCTCTGGGATCTCGCGCTTGATGCGCTCCTCCTGCTGCAGCAAGTAGTGCACGCACCTACACCGCGAGTGTGGCCGGGGCTGTGACTCGGCGGTCGGCTCCTCCTCCTGCAGCAACCAGCGCACGCACGAGTTGACGGAGGCGTCGTGCGACGCGCGAAGCAGCCGCGTCTGCTCGGCGCCCTGGCGGCGCCACGTCTCGATCTCGGCGCGCAGCGACTCGTGCAGCTTCAGCAGTCGCGCCTTGATCTTTGCCCATCCAAAGGTGCCGGACATCCCGTTGGAGGAGCACTCGAAGGGCATCATCTTGAAGGCCGCGCCTGGCGGTAAGGACAGCGGCGTGTAAAGAAGGGGACGGTGTGTCGAGATCGAGGGGGCGCCCTCTTCAAGCCGCGCGCCGTCCTTTGCGCTCGCTTCGTCAGAGAGCCGCTCGCACTCGGACAAGTACCGCTCGTGGTACCTGCCCACACGCACCCGCTGTGAAGAGCCCGCCACCGCACACTCCGAGCAGGAGCCGCCCGAGCGGCACATGTTGAACAGCTGCCGCCTCGTGTGTGCAAAGGCGGGGCACACGCCGTTGGCGGAGATGGTCCGAGTCTCGAGCGTCTCCTCCATCACCTGATCGAGTCGTGGTCAATGGTCAACGGTCAACTGTTTCAGGCCTCGCGCGTGTCTCCTCTGTCGCCTGCCGAGGCACAGCAGATACGCAGCCGACTCGCAGTCGAGGCGCAGCTGCGGTGGAGCCGATACGCAGCCGAGGTGCAGCCGAGGTACCAGAGTGCAGCCCGAGTGCTAGCATGCGGACGACGTTTGGAGCGCCTGGCTGCATCTCGGCCGCATCTCGCCCGCACACCTCGCACACGCCCACGCGGAGGGTCTCGTGCAGGATCTTGTGGTTGTACCGCTGCGGGTCTCCCGATCCGTCGTCCTTTTCAAAGGAGGGCTCGTTGTGGTACGGCGCGTCGTGCAGCAGAGACTGTATGCTCATGAGCACCGAAGAGACCGACTGCACCGCCGACCACATCTCGCCTACGTGTCGGGTACGCTCCGGTCATACCTCGGCTGCCTCTCGGGCATACTGCGCCGCCGACTACATCCTCGCCCGAGTTTTCTGCGCGCCAGGTGCCGAGGATGGAAAGGCAAACCTGGCGTGGGGGAAGGAGGGCGAGGGAGTTCGGGCAGCGAGCAGCGCCGGAGGCGGAGGGCGCGCGTTTGAGGGCGGGAGGAGCGCCGGTCGGCGCAGGGCGAGCGGCGGCGGAGCGGCGTGAGCTGCTCTGGCGGCAGGAGCGGGCGCAGCGGGAGCGGGCGCAGCGAGCGGGCGCAGCGGAGCTCGGGCCGGCGCGCCTTTCCGGTGGCGTACAGGTTCGGGTTGAAGCGGACGGACCCGCCCGAGGTGGTGGTGATGTGCACCTTCGGGGCCGAGTTGGGGTAGTCCTGCGGGAACCGCATGTCGAAGTGGAACAGACCAAGGCAGTACGGCGTGCCGGGAGGACCGACGATCATCGCTCGCCTGCGCGCAGTCAGAGTAGGGCAAGAGGTGTGACCGGGGCGGAGACGGGAGAGGGGGACGGGGTTGGCGCCGGGGTCGGGACCGGCCGCGGACCGCAACACGAGGCCTTTTGGGGTGCGGATGCGGGCGCAGGAGACGGCGCAGAGAGTGTCCCGGGGTTTGGGACGCGCCAGTGGTGGATGTCCGTCTCCTCAGGCTGGGCAAAGATGGTGGGGACGGTCTGGTTCTGCACGTCGCGCTCCTCGCGCATGAGCCGCGAGGCGGACGAAGACATGGCTGCGGCGAGAGGGCAGTGATTGTGAGATGGCGGGAAAGCGTCTGCGCGCGATCGCGCCGACGGCTCTCGTCTCTGGACAGGAGCCGGCGTGGCGCGGTGCTGGCGCGGAGCCGCCACGAGAACGCGCGGCCGCGGTGTGGGGGAGAAGGCGTGTGCGCGCCACGGCGGCGATGCGCGGCCGATGGCTGAGTGCGGGCAGCTCTCGCGAAGGAAAAGAAATTTCCGACCTTCAGCTATCTTTCGAAAAGGCTCGATTTTTAGGTGCAGCGCCGGGCAGCAAGCGTTGCTTGTCTTACAGTCGTAACATGGGGCAATGACATCGATCTACAGCGCAGGCATTGTCACGCGCCGGAGGTAGAGTTCTAGCCGGCCGGTGCGTGGCGCGGCGGCGGCGCTAGTTGTGCGTGTGCGTGTGTTGCTCCCAGTGCGTGGGGATAGACGAGTCAAGAGGGCCCAGAGTACTTAGCCCCGCAACGCGCAAAATTTTGGCTAGGAGCAGCCGCTGGGGGGGTTTTGCGCGCTTGACTTGGTGCCGGGCCGGCAAGAGTTCCAGGTTGCTGGGGGGGTGCTGCTCTTGCACGCGTCGAACATTGCGTTCAGGCCCGCGTTGTTGGTGCAGTCTATGTTCGGCACGCTTCTGAAACCGAGGTAGTTACGCACGATGATCCAGTTTGTGCTGAGCTTGAGGCCGGAGGGCTGCAGCACAGGCAGATCGTCGAACTCGGGCCCCATCTCGTTGTTTGCCATGCCATTGCCAACAACGACGAGGCTGCTCAGGTCGAGCTCCGTCAGGGCATCTAGATTCTGGAACCTGAAACCAGCCACGAACTGGAGGCTCGGGAAGCTGATTGACGTAAGCGATGCGACGTTTGTCACATACAGATTGGTGGTGACATGCGTCAGCTTGGGGGCGCTGAGCGAGGTCAGGCCTTTTTGTGTTGGATTTTCCATCGTCGTGGGCAATGAGTTGCTCTGCGGCGTGTACATGAGCATGTTGACTGTCGTAAGCGCCTCAAACGTGACGTCGGCATCGCCGTCCTTGAAGGAGATGAAATCCAGCTTGAGACTCTCGACCGAGACGATGCCTTTCATCGCATCGCTCAGATCCGCCCCAGAGACGTCTTTTCCCCTGAGTGTTAACAAGTTGACGTGGGACAGAGTAGACAGAACAACCTTTGCGGACTCCATCTGGGGGCCCGGCGTGCAATCCACTATGGATGGCGCTGCTTGACTTCCGCCAAACTGCCCATCGATTGAATGGGTGCTGCCTCCAAAGGATTTGATCTCTGCCACTTGGGTCCGGAGCTGAGTCACGTCGGCCTCGAGCGGGTTGGGGCACTGCGGATAGGTCGTGACGTGTCAGTATCTAGATGGGCGCACATGGGCGCTCACGGCACTGACTAGGCCGATGCATGCAAGATGGGAAGTGTCCGCCAGTGTGAGTGCGCGTGTCTCGTTTGCACCTGGCCGATGGCCGTGCAGCAAGCCGTTAGCACCAGGCGCGATTTCTCTGAGACATTCTTGTCCCCTTCAACCGTGGAGCTAGCAACGAGGCCGAGAAGCAGCATGTGCCTTGCCACGGCCCCGGGGGGAGTGGGCAAATCGATCGCGGATCGGGGCCGTTTTTGACGGGGACGGCCGCCCAATGGATGGCTTCGTTCCCTGGGTAGAGGCTTTGCAGAGAGTTTGCGCCGCGGCGGCCGCGGTCGCAAAGACCAACCGTATCCCTATCAACACACCAAGCGAGCTGTGAACATGCTCGCACCCTTCAGTGTAACACGTCCGGACGTGGGATGACGGGGCACACTCGCGGAAGGTATGGACGCACGCACGGACGGACGGGGCCCACGTCCTGTGAGCTGTGCGTGACTCGCGTGTGTGTCGCCTCGAATCGCGAGGGGATCGTGGCGGCGATCGTTGGACACGTCTTTTGACCGGACTTTCGTCTCTCGCTCGATACATACACGAAATACACAGTAAACGAGCGGTGTGTGAGGCGAATGAAAGATGTGAGAAGGTCGCGTCCGACCCCAGAGAGCAAAACGCCTCGCCCGCGCCCTGCGCTCTCGCCAGACTACCAGCGCGCCTCGTGCGCCCGCCCCCACCTGCCCCCTCCGCCGCCGCCCCCCCGCCCGCCGCCGCCTCCGCCCCTCCCTCAGTCGCGCCCTGCGATGTCGTCGTCCCGCTCGGCGAGCGCTGTCAGCTGCGTCTCCAGCTCGTCCGCTGACAGCCGGGTGAAGGCGAGGTTGTCGTGCCGCACGACGCACGCCTCGATGTCGTTCGCCTTGAGGTCGGCGCCGAGCACGTTCTGCAGGCAGGCGAGCGCGAGCTGCACCTGGAGGAGGCGGGCGGGCCACGGACGTGTGTCGCGGACATGTCCTCGCGCCTCAGAAGTGTCCTGGACGCGTCCAGGACACGCCGCGGGCCGAGCTGCACCGTATCGTCGTGGCTGAGCTTCGGGTCGACGGCCACGTTGGAGCCGGCGGGCGGCTTGAAGCGCTTCTCCAGAAAGTTGTTTGCCTCCTGCTCCTTCGCACCTGCAGGGCGGGGAAAAGACGGCTCGGAGACGGCTCGGAGTTGGCTCGCCTCCCGCTCCGCCTCCGCAGTCTCGCCTGCGGACGTGCTGCACTACATCCCCCCCCACATCTCCTCCATGTCTCCCCCCCATCTCCGCAGGCCTGCGGACGTGGCCTTGTAGCCGACGTAGTAGCCGGCAGGGTCACACCGGAAGAGCTGCGGCACCTGTGGGGCGGCGACGAGAAGGCTGGGAGACGGCTCGGGCGGTCTTGCCGGAGCAGCTCGCGCCGCCGCCTTCTTCTCGCCCTCGACGTCGATGCCGATGATGATCATCGCAATGCCGAGCGGGCGCATGTTTGCGTGCTGCGTGTAGACCTGCGCGGTGTCGGCGGCTCGCTTTGCGAGGTACGAGACCGGGATGTCGTACCCGTTGTTGAACTTGAACTTTGCCGCCTGCGGTCGGAGGGGCAGGGGAGGGTCGGAGGGGGCAGGGCCGGAGGAAGGGTCGGAGGGGGGCGGGGGCAGGGGCGAGGGCGCGGGCGTGGGACGGCCGCGGTGCGGTGCAAGCAAGAGCGGGGCGCGCGCAAGCGTGTGAGGCGAGTTCCGGCCGCGCGAGCCCTCCACGACCGTCCACGGCCCCTTGGACCCAAAGGCAACTCCCGCGAGGCCACTCTTTCCCCTCGGGGGCCCTTGCGCGGGCGGCGCCAGAGTGTGTGCACTTGCGCGGCGCCGTGTCGGGCAACCGCTTTGGTCGGCGCCCCGGGGCCCTCGCGCGGCCCACTGGCCCTCAGATTCGCTCCTCGCAGGAAAAGAGAGAGAGATCGCGCAGTGAGACTGTGGCGTGTTTGGCGGAGAGACGAGCAGTCTGTGTTGTGAGGCGTAGCAGCGGCTCTGGGCGTCACCTCCTCGCGCAATTTCTTGACGGAGGCGCGCGCGTCGGGCACGATGCCCGTCATGACGAGCCCGATGTTGGGCGTGATCGCGTACATGTTGGTCACCGACTCGGGATCGTACAGCTTGTCCGGCACCTTGCGCTGCGTGAGGACGACACACGAGTCGGCGCCCCGCACTCCGACGGAGGTGAGGCCCGAGGTCTTGATCGCCTTGAAGGCGTACTCGACCTGGTAGAGGCGCCCCTCGGGCGAGAAGATGGTGATGTGCCTGTCGTACCCCGCTGAGCTGCCCCGCGCCATCCTCTCCTGTGATCCTTTGGCACGATCGGCGTGTCGGCGGGAGCGGCTGCCGCCGGCTCGCTCAAGGTGTGAGACGGCGATGCATGTGCGCCGCGTGGCCGGAGCGTGGTGGCGGGGCGCGGCGAGGAGAGGTGGGTGCGAGTGTTTGTGCGGCGGGCGCGCGCGACCTTGTGTTCGGCGCGCTGCGATGCCCGAGCGGCGCTGAGACGAGCAGAGGGGGGCCGAGACGTTCACAGCCTTGTTATTGAGAAGAAAATACCTCCTATGGCGCTGTGCGCTGGCCGCGCCAATGCTGGACCCCGGCTCGTCGACAAGAACGCGCTGTCGGCGCGCGGCGGCGGGCCCTCGCGCCAGTCGCGCTCTCCCTCACCGGACTCGCCGCCCGCCAAGCGGGCGTCCTCCGCCGACTCCTCCGGCTATGACACCGATCTACCGGACGAGGTGCAGCAGGAGGCGGTCCGCAGGGTCTGCGGCGCGCTCGGCCTGAAGGAGCAGTACGACGCGGCGGTGGCGGCGGGAGAGCTGCTCGAGCTGCTCGAGAGCCTGCCGCGAGGGACAGTCGAGGCCTCCATCCGGCTCATGCGGGGATACACCCGCACGGGCGAGTGGCCCGAGCCCATCCTACCCAGCCCTGCCCCGGAGCGCGGCCGATCGCCTAGAAGCCCCTCTGATGAGTGGTCAGATGAATAGTGCCCAAGAGCGAGGGATACGGAGGGGAGCACAAATAGGACGCCAGCCCTGCCCTCGTGCCGCCGAGTGCGTATCCTATGCGAGAGAGACCCCCTGTGCCCGTGCCCAGCCCTCTCCGCGCCGCGATGCGCCCTCCCCCCTCGCTTTTGCAAAATCCTGCAAAGGTGGGGACGTGTCTGTCCTCGACCCAGCCCTAGCTTGGGATGTCTGTTTTATTTATTTATTTATTTATGGCCTGTGAGAGGTTGAGGTGCGAGCCCTGGAGGCCCTGGGGATGGGGGGGGACTACCCGCGGGCTTAGAAGGCCCGCGCGCAGGGGGGTGGGGCATTGAGACCGGTCATGAATGAGTGCGCGACACGCATGTTGCGAGCAGCGTTGTTGATGTTCACAGCCTCTCGAGGTTCTCGAGGTGGATATCCTTTGGCCGCGTTGGGTAGCACAGTGCACAGCCTTGTTCGAGACGTACTGAGACGTGAAGCGCACGCCGCGCTCCTCGAGCGCCATGCGCGCGATCCCAGCGTAGTACGAGTTGACCGTGTCGAAGAGGACGGCGTCGCTGCAAATCGACGGAGGGGAGGCGGCGGCGCAGGTCACGGGCATCAGCGCGTGCGTCCCCCGAATTACCGGACTAGGATTCCTAGGTCTGTCAGGTGTAGATTCTTTTTGCTTGTGCGGACCTGATGCTGAAATTCTGCAAAAACCTGGCCGGCCCCTGCCCTGCCCCTACCTACCTACCTACCTACCTACCTACCTACCTTACTTATGGGAAACTAAAAAGAAATCATATGATGGGTGAAGGTGGCCAAGCTGCAGAACATGTGCGGGCCAGCGCCTATGACGCTCAAGGAGTGAGGCGCGGAGCGCCGCGCGCGGAGCGCGCCCCGAAGAAAATTTTGAGGGTTGTGGAGGGCTAGATGCGATCTCTATTTACATGTAGAGTTTGACTCACACGCTAGGAACCACTCGGCCCACCCACAGGCCCAGTCTCAAGTGGCAGCGCTCCGCGCCTACCCAGCGGCGCGCTCCTGTCTGCGGCAGCACTACTGCATCTTCCGCAGCTCCAGCAGGTATCAGCAGTGAGTTCATCGCCAGTTATCTGCGCCTTCCGTTCGTCGCTCTCGTGCTTGATCGTCAGGCCGTGCTCTCACGTCCGCCGGAGCTACCTCGGCTATCGGAACCATTTTGCAAGTTTGCCCGCCGACATGTCCCGGTCCGGCTCAGTCAATTCAATGTCGCTCGGCGCTCGCTGGCTCCGTGGATGCTTGTGCTGCTGAGCAATCCAGGCGCACCTTGGCAACCGGCGGCAGCGACTTGCGGCGTCAGCATTCGAACGGTTGTGTTGATTTGCTCTTGCTCCGCGGTATCTAGCCGGCGCGCTCCGCGCGTGTGTCTAGCTAGAGCGCGCTCCGCGCGTATGTCCGAGTAGCACCAGCGCGCTCCGCGCGCACCATAATCTCAGTGCCTATGCTTTAGCCACTAAAAGCTCGTTTCTGCAGCTTGGGAAGGTGGGGTACTATACCAACTAGAGTGATGGTTGGTGGTACTCTCCTGCAACCACAGTCAGTCCTTCCTGTGACATGGCAGGCCACTCTCAAGCCCTACAAGCATCAGATCACCCATTTGGGGAGGGTTGACATCGTGATTTCCGCGAAAAATTCTTTTTCTGCTGTGAAAATTCCAGCCAGCGTGGAAGAGGGAAAAACCCGACGTGCGACGAGAGGGCCCAGACCTACCCTACCTACCCCGGCATCAGGTCCGCCCAAGCAAAAAGAATCTACACCTGGGTCTGTGGTGGCAAATCAAGACACAAGAGACAGAGCTCACACAGAATCACAGCGGGGTGGGGGTGGGGGTGCGGCCGAGTCGCAATTCCTGGTTTTAGGTATGTTGTCGCAATTCCTGGGGTCTTGGCGTCTTGGATTCTTTGTTTGTCCGGCTTGCCCGCTACGTGCGGGCATCGACTCTCTCGAGGTCTCGCACACGAACGAACAAAGGAACCCCCCCCGACCCCCCCGGACCCGGGACCGCCGGCGCGGATCAATTTTGGAATTCTGCATCCTCTCACAGCATATTCATGTCGTTGGTCTCGCCGCCGCCGCCGCCGCCGCCGCCGCCTCCCGCCGCCGCCGCCGCCGACCCACCTCTCAGCGTCGACATCGTGATCATTGGCGCGGGCCTGTCCGGTCTCACCGCCGCCGCCTACCTCAAGAAGGAGGGCATCGAGTCGTTCCTCGTCGTGGACGAAGGTGGGCAAGGCCTGAGTGCTTAGATGCAGCACAGCCGTCCAGCGCCCACGCAAGCCGCCGCCTGCAGCGCTCCGAGTGCGGCAGCACGGCCCTGCCAGTGCATGCGGCGAGTGGCGTAGCTGCGCCTGCCTCCGCCACATTTCGGCACGCCTCGCAGGCGCTGTCGGCGGCACGTGGCGCGATCACGCCTTCCCAAACGCCGGGACCGACACCGAGGTGCGCTTGTCCCGTCCTTCCAACGCCGGAATCGGTCTCGGAAAGCGGCATGCTTGACGTGCATGTCTAGGTGCCGACCTACTACCCATCCTTCCTGCCGACGCCCGAGACGTCCTCGCAGTATGGGAAGCGCGACGAAATCATGTCGTACTTCAAGCGCGTCGCAAAGGAGCAGATCGGCGAGCACAAGTTCCTGTGGGGCGTCAGCGTCGCGTCAGCAAAGTTTGATGGCAGCTGGTGGGCGCTGTCGGACGCTTCCGGCACCACCACCCTGCGGTGCCGCTTCCTGATGCCGGCCATCTACTCCATCTCCTGCAAGTGGCCGCACCTCCCCGCCATCCCAAATCGCGACCTCTTTGCCGGAGACGTGCAGCACTCGATGCACCTCGGCCCGCAGGCCGGCTTCTGTAGCTCCCCTTCTACCCTCCCGCCCGCCGCTTCCCTCACCGCCGCTTCCCTCACCGCCGCTTCCCTCACGCCGCTTCCCTCACCGCCGCTGCCCTCACCGCCGCTCCCTCACCGCCGCTGCCTTCGCCGCCGCTGCCCTCGCCACCGCTGCCCTCGCCGCCGCTGCCCTCACCGCCGCTGCTGCTAGTCCCCTCGCCACTGCCCTCACCGCTGCTGCCCTCACCGCCGCTTCCCCCGCCACCAGGTCGAGCGCTTCCGCGGCCAGCACGTCGCCATCATCGGATGCGGTGCGCCTGCTCTTTCCCTCCTGGTGTATCCTGGAACTCCCCCTAGTATAGCCGAGGCAGGGAGCGAGAGAGGGGACCGACCATCCTCCATCGTCTCCCCGCCCAACCGCCGCGAGAGAACAGGCGAGGCGTGGGTTGGGGGGGGGGGGGGGGTGGCAAAAGGGCCCAGGAGTGACGAGACCTCATCGAATCTTAGCGGGTTCCGGCTCGGAGCCCCTCGGCGCGATGAGGAGTCAGATGACATCGTTGACCTCCCCACGGGAACGGCAGACACACAGCCCCCCCCCCTTTTTTGGCAGCTGCGGCCGAGACACCTCCCCCCCCCCCCCCATTCTCAAGGCGCATCGACGATCCAGATCGCCCCCGCCATCGCGCCCGTCGCCGCCTCGGTCACCGTCCTGCGCCGCACAATGCCGTACATCATCGAGCAGGCCAGCGCGCCGATGCCAAAGGGCCGCCTCGCCTGGGCCTTCTGGAGGCTCGCCTACGAGCTGCGCAACGACCTGTACACGATGTTCGACGGCGCGCGCGCCTCGAGTGGCCGCCTCGCGGGAGGGCGCGGTCCTTCCTCCTCGACCGCCGAGAGACCGCCTCCGTAGGCTCTCGCCGGCTGGAGTGGCTGCTGCGCCAGTGGGTCCGGCTCTGCTTCTTCCGCAAGAGAGAGGCGCACACGCTGCCGCCCGCGAGCCAGCCGGTCCAGTGCACGCGCCGCTGCTACGACTACTGCGGCTTCATCGAGGGCATCCGGCGCGGCACCATTTCGCTCGTCGACGCGAGCGTCAACGCCGTTTCCTCTTTCTCTGCGTCGGGCCTGGTGCTGCGCGACGGCAGCGAGGTGCGCGCCGACTCGGTCATCTTCGCGACGGGCTACAAGACGATCGGCGGCGACGACACGACGGACCTGCACTACGAGGCGCGCCGTCTCGGCCCCACCTCGGCCCCACCTCGGCTCTATCTGTCTCTGCTATCTCCCGCACTGCACGGTGCTAGGGCGGGAAGGCACTGCAAGGTGCTAGGGCGGGAAGGCGTGTGGGGGGAAGGCCGTGCTTGCTCATCATACGCGCCCTTCAACAGGTCCTCGGCGAGAAGGTGCCGGTGAGCGACCGCGTGCCGAACCTGCTGATGCCGATCGCAGGATATACACACATATAGCGTCCGGAGCTCGTGCATGCCATCGCGTGGAGGCCGTCTCTTCACGCCTCTCGCCCGTGAACAGGCTGCCCAATCTACTGCACGCCCCCGCGCCGCACCGAGGACAGCGCTTGCCGCATTCTCCCGCAGCGCGCGACTCCACAGCGTGATGGGCGAACTGTGCGGCGATAGGACAGCATGCCGTACTTCGTCCGCGCGTACCGCGAGTACCTCGCCGCGGGCGCCACCGGCTCCATCTTGCTCTTCCCAAACGTGTGGCCCGCTCAGACGCGGTCCAACACTCGATGGAGCCGCCCCTCACGTCTGCAGCCGTGGGCAGGTGCCCGTCTTCCGGAAGGCAAACTCGATCCTCTTCTCGCCGGCTTGCGCCTCGAAGCGCTACGCCGGCCGCACGCCAAACAGCGCCAAGCCAACTTTCACGGGCGAGTTGCGCGCGGGCGTGGCGCATCGTCCAGCCGTGACCACACGCCGTTCACGCGACGCGAGCCGCCAACAGGCGACTTCAACGAAGCGCAAGGCATCCCCGTCCCCAGGCTGCTCTTCAACCTCTACATGATGGCGCAGCGGCCGCTGCACTGCCCGGCGCCAACCCACGGCGCCGAGGGGGCGCCAACGCCGCCGATCTCCGCTTCTCGCCCGGGCTTTGCCGCCGCCGTGTCGCTGCTCGGATGGTTGCACGGCACGCGCTGAGAGGACGGGCGCTGCTCCCATGGGGAGGGCTGCGACGAGCGAGCGGGAGGCTTGTGACTAGGCAACACGCCGGCGTTCGGGCTCGACTCGCCCGGCGCCTCGCCGCTGCCCTGCTCGCTGCTTCGCTACGTCGGCGAGTGCGCGCTGTGGGTGCGAGCTTCTACCCCCCCCCCCCCCCCCCCGTCCTCTCCGGAATAGACATGTGCGCTACATTGCCTAGGGGTGGGGTGGTGGGGCCTATTGGGGCATAATGGCTTGTTGTAGTGGATATGAGTTGTGGGCGTGTCTCGCTGGCTTTCGCCAGCCTTTGCAGGCATCCTAAGTTCGGCAGCTCAGCCTCCTCTGCGCCAGGGATCGCGCGGGGCGCAGCACGCCCTGTGTCGTCTGCGCGAGATCCTAGTCCCTGGTTCACCGAGGCGCCCCCTACAGGGAGTCAGCTCAGCCGCGTTCCTTGTAGTGTGATGCCTTTAAGTCTTTAGGTGTTTGTTGAGCTAGCTTGTGAGGCCTTGACAAACTTGATCTCTCGTGCGTGAGTCGTCGCCTCTTCTGTGGTGAGGTGGTCGAGTCCCACTCTCCTTAGTTCTTCATTCACTCGCCTGCTCAGTCGTAGTCTGCCGTAGTAATCAATCGTCCCCATGGGTTCTACTTTGTCGCTTATTTCTTTCATGGTCGAATCGCTGACTCGGTCGCTCTTGCGTCTTATTCGTCGGAGCCTAGTTCTGGCCTCCCCCGAGTACGCTTGCATGTTTCTCACTAATAGGTTCAAGACCGCCTTCCAGGTTTGTTCGGGTTTGATTTTTTCTTCTTCGTAGAAGGAGACTATTATTTGGTTCCACATGTGTAGGTGAAGTGCGTTGTGGACCTCAGGCGTGTCCGCCGAGGTTCCGATGATGGTGAGTAGTCTCGGCGGAGGTATGCTCAGTGACTCTCCTTGTGCAAAGACCGCCCGGACGACCGGGCACACGTCGAGGTGTCTCATCGTTTCAGAGGTTCTGTTACAGAGCCTGCACCTCGTGTGTGTTGTGGTGTCTAGTCCGTACGCCTTGAGCTGTTTCCGGAGGACCAGCCTCCTGTTGAGAATATGTCTACTATAGTTGTCGGTAATTGTAGGCGGGACGAGAGTGCTGTGTATCGCTCTCGCAGCGTTAATCCATTCTTGAGGGTAGACTATTTTGTTGCTTGTCTCCACTCTGAGGCGGAATCTTGACGAGCTGTCGTGCGGTCGGTCGGGTCGCTGCACTCGTGCCCTGGAGTCTTTTCCTCCCTCTCTTATCCACCCTGGGTTCCGTAGGAAGTCCTTCTCCCAGTTTCTGAGGATCCTGGGTTGGGTCATGCCCTTTCTGCTCAGATACTTTGTGATGTCGCCGACGCTTATCTGATCGAGTGGTTTGTCGATCCCGTCGAATGTGTATGTCTCCGGGTGTGGCCAGGCCACCTCCTCGCTCTCTTTGTAGCCTTGCGCCCACTGTAGGGCTGGTAGTGGGTTGTGTCTTAGGAATTCGTCCTTAGTTATTTTCGTTCCTGGGTGGACCATTCCTTTGGCGTCTTGTTCTGCTAGCCAGTATTCCTCGTACCATTGACCAGCTTTCTTTTTGAGGGTTCGCACCAAGTACTTGTGGTTGTTTTCTACTGTGTCGTCTCTGTCCAGGTAGGCGTATACTCGTATTGGTTCAAATTTTTCTTTTGGTGATGGGGATGGGCCCGTTGTTGTTTGTCGAGGCTGAGTGCCTTTGTTTGTGACTATTGGGCCGTCTCGTAGGTTCAATATTTTGACTTTGAGCTCTAGCTTGACATTAGTGGAAAAGATTCTGAGCTTGGCCGCTACTGGCGGTCTTTGTAGCATTTGCAGGCTTCGGTCGTAGCCGTGCCAGATTTCCCTTCTTAGGAGGTTGGCCTTCCTGTGCGCGGGGTTGAGCCCCCTTTTGTTGAGAATTATTCCTAGCTCGTGCCAGGCGAAGTGCACCTTCGCTCGATCTGTGGTATGCCAGTGGCCTCCTCTCAGCGGGACGATTATCTGTTCGTCTGTCGATCTGGGGTAGCGGCAATTAATGTATGGGTCGATGGAGGTGGCGAAGTACGCGGTGTCGTCTGGTGTGAAGTAGTTAGTGACTGTGAGTAATTGGGCTGTATTGAATAGGTTGTGGAATTTTGTTATGGAGGGGGGGAGGTGAAGGGTAGGGTTGTTAAATATCGGCGTGGAGCGTGCCTCGAGCGGGTTGTCAGACCCTAGATATTTGAGTCGGAGCTCTCTCATGTCTTCTATGGCTTTGACCCAGAAGGTCGGCAGCTTGGAGGGGGTGTCCCTCCGTTGTTCCCCCGGGTCGAGGCACTTGGTGAGGTCATGAGCTTTGCAGGAGGTTAGTACTGAGGATCTGCCTATTTCCGCTCTAGCGAGCCACAAGTCGAGGAGAGTTTTGTACTGGCCCCTGCTTGCATCAAGGTACCTGAGGAGTGCTTTTATTCGTATGGCCTTGACGTGTTGTTCCCAGTCGCAGAGGGCGACTCCTAGGCCTATGAGCTCGTGTTTGGGGGGGGTGCCCCCGCCAGCGCTCCACTCTAGTCTCCTCGGGGCGTGTGGGTTCTTAATCCACGGGGCTCTGTCTAGGTCTTCGTACGATCCTTCCTCTTCCGGGTCAAGCGCAGGGTGCTTGTCCCACATGAGGTGGTTTACGTCAGTGATGAGCTGTTCGTTGAACCACCCAGGGGGGTCCATCGTGAACGCCCAGTATCTGGGACGAGAGAAGATTTTAAAATTGGCAACGAGTGCCCTTCCTGTGATCTTCATGTCTTTGAGTCCTCTTACTCGGGGAGGTGTCCGGTCTTCGCAGCCTCGTTGAAGAGGTCGACTAGGTGAGGTATGAGGATCCTCTGGAACATCTTGTAGAAGGTTGGTGAGAGACGGTCGGGGCCTGGTGATTTCCCTTCTTTCATGAGATTGATCGCGTCTCGGACCTCGTGCTTGTTGAATGGTTTGCCCATATCTTTGGCATCGGCGTCCGAGAAGCGCTGTCCTTCCTCTAGTTTAGTCAGTAAGATGTCTCGTTTTTGTTTTATGGTTTGTTTTGGTCCAAACAGCCATTGATAGTATCTCGCTAGTTCGTCGCATATTTCATCCGGGTCCGTCGTGACCCCGTTTTTCTCATCTGGCTTGTCCCAGTCGGGTGTGCGGTGTAGGGAGGAGATGGTTCTCGACGCGTGCCCCGGCTGGAGCTTTCGAAAGAAGCTCTTCGTGGGACGTTGTTTGAGCTCGGCCTTGCGTCTCTCGATCTCGGCGTTGGCTTTTCTTTTCGCTAAGGCTTCCGCGTATCTTTCGTGTAGTTTGGCCATCCTTCAGCGCGTGCACGCTTCTGACGCAATGCGCGTCACGCAAACTGCCTCGGATCGGCTGCTGGCACTCTCAAGGCTATGCCTACACAGCCTCGCGCGCATGGGCAGTCAAGAGGGACCACGCACCTTCTCAGGACAGCGCCGGTGCCTCTCTCTTGGACCGGCAAACTTGGTGGTATCGTGTCACCAATGTGGGACCAGTGCGGCATCGCGCCATCGACAGCTCTGAACTGCACCTCACCACTGACCGGGAAGGCCGCCAAGTGGGCCAGCACAGGTCGCACATTGTGGCAGCAGTCGGCAGTGCATGTCTGATAGCTAGAGCAGCAGCATCAGGGTCGCAGGGTCGGATCGTGTCAAGCCTCTCGCCCGGCCGGCCGCGTGCAGACGTCGGCCTGTCTGCTGTCTGGAGTGATATCTGTCGGCGGTCAGTACGACCGATCACGTTAGAGTTTTCTTATGGCTGGAGGGTCTATCTGTATGTACTCCTCGAGATCTTTCCAAATCTGCCCTCTAGTTAACCGTACTTGATCGGAAGTCGGTGCTAGTGGAGACTAGTGGAGCCGGGGCCCCGTTTCCGCGCTAGAGGGTGCGGTGCGTCCTAATCTAAAATCCGAGGATTAAGGATTCAGGCATCGCTTCAGTGAGGCCAAAGTGAGTTTGTGGATGTGTGAGAACGGTACGGGACACGAGGAGTCACGCGGACCGACTCGTCGGTAACTCTGCTGCACGCCGTTTCAGAATTTTTCTCAGCGTGGTTAGGACGGGTCGGCCCGGAGCATCAGAGTAGCCGTCGTGGTCGTGGTGAGCAGCGCCGGCCACTCCGGCGCCGCGTCGGCACCGTGGGAGCATGTCCACCGCCACTTCGCGGTCGCAGCGCTGTTGTCGCCCAAAACGCCGCTATGTACCTTTTCGGGCAAACCACATCGAGCTGCATGTGTCGATTTCGACTTGAGACGGCAGCATGAACGATGAAGGCATCACGTCTCCATGCTGCCGTCAAGTTGGAGCCAGTCTGCGGCGACCACAGCGCTCAGAAAGGTACATAGCGAGCTTTTCAGAGTCAAGCTTTTGCGCGAAATCCCACACTGGTGGATTTTGGTACGCACCGCACCCTCTATCCGCGCACTGCGGCGCGGCGCACGGTGCCTCCGGGGGGCCCCGCCTCCCCCCAGAGCACTCTCGAGAGTAGACCGGGTGGCACACGTGTAAGTGCCGACGTACCCTGCTATCGCGTTCTCATCTATCCACCGGCGCCCGCGAGATACGCAGCACGACAATGCGCTGCTCCGGGAAGAGCTCTCCCGAGAAAGCACCCTCTGCCCCTAGGCCGCCCCCGTCGCCCTCGGGCTGCGGCCAAGCCTGCACATAGCTCAGGCCCTGTGCTTCGAGCGCGGCGAAGAAGTCGCGGTCGTAAAACTCGTAGCGGTTGAGCGTGTGCGCGTAGTACATGCTTACTCCTCGCGCTCCCCCACGCGAGCACAGCAGCCGCCCCAGCAGCCGCGGCAGCATCGCCATTCCAGCCTCGTTGTAGACCAAATCGCTGCCGACGACCAGCTCCCACGCCTCGCTCAAGATGGCGACGAACGGCCCTCGCGCCGCCGCCTCACAGCCACCTCCCTCTCGCCCGCCGTCCGCCTTGCCGCTCGCGCTGCCCTCCGCCTCTGCGCCCAGCTCCTCCTCCTCCACCCAGCGCCAGTCGAGCGCCGCCGTCTCGAGGCGCGGGAGCGGCACCTAACGAGCACAGATCATGATAGCAACAAGAGGACAGCAGCCGCCTGGGCAGCGGCAGTGAGGCACCCCCGCCCGCCGGTTGGCCTCCACGTTCCTCGTCAGCCAGCCGAGCGCGTTCCCCTGCTCCATCTCGGTCAGGACAATCCTCGAGGGCGACAGGTCGCGCGCGAGGTGCATGCCGAGATAGCCCGTCCCGGCGCCCAGCTCGAGCACGCAGCGGCCCGCCACCAGGCCGGGCGCCGCGCGGAAAAAGTCGAGAAGAACCTACCCGATGTGTCAGGACTTGTCCGAGGACAGATCATGCTGGCCAGGCACCGCGCGGAGAGAGGCGAGCCTCCGCAGCGGCCCACACATGACCGCCTGTCGTCTGCTCGGTGGTGACGCTCTGGTACGCTGCTGCGTCCTCGATGCGAATGGGCGGCGGTGTAGAGGGCATATAAGCCCGGGTCGACGCCAGGCCACAGCGATACGTACGTACGGGCTCTCTAACCGGCGACCCTGGGGGGGGGACGACGACAAGAATTCTTGAAATAGCGACGCTCACAGCACGTGCGACAAGGGAGAGAGCACGACGAGAGGGCGACCGCGAGTACCGACGGTAGCACGAAGGTTGAAGCGAGAATCGAGGCCCCGCGAAGAGAGATAGGAAGCAGGTGTCTTCTTCGCTGTTTATTCACATAAACGCACAACTCCGGACCCAAGTGTTTATTCACAGCACGCCCCTAGGAAACCTACAGCCCAGGTTCCCTGGGGTCGCCTCGTGAATAAACGAGTATAAACAGCGGTGGATAGGAAGAGACGGACGCCAACACAACTTGGTATTGCTAAAAATCTCTCTCTCGGACGCCCAAGGGTGGGCGACGGCTAGCGCACCACACCCCTCTCCTTAAAATCCCTGTGTGGTGGCGGCGTGCCGCCCTCCCCATCCCTCCCTTGGGCTACCTGTTTTCTTTCTTTCTTTCTTTTACGCTGGCACGACAAGGGCGCGGACTGGCGCGGACAGGCACACACACCGGCTCACGAGAGAAGAACTCGTGCGCCGAACAAAAATCAAAAATCGCGCGCAGGTGTGTGTACTTCTTGCTTGGCCGGGTATCATGCCGGGGCCCGGGGTAGGTAGGGTAGGTCTGGGCCCTCCCGTCGGGAGCACTTGGAGCACTTGGAGTGCAGTTGGCAGCCTCACATCCAGGGCCGGGGAGCTCAGAAGCGCACCCAGGGGTTTTCCCTCTCTTCAAGCTGGAATTTTCTCGGCAGAAAAGAAATTTTCCGCGGAAATCACGATGTCAACCCGCTCCCCTTCCCCTGTGTCCCTGATCGTCCTTACAAGATCCTGCTCGTGCAGGTGGGGACCCTGTCCTTCTCCCACCCCTCGTTTGGCGTGCCCGTTTTATTTATTTATTTACCCTCCCCAGATCTGATGCTTGTAGGGCTTGAGAGTGGCCTGCCATGTCACAAGAAGGACTGTGGTTGCAGGAGAGTACCACCAACCATCACTCTAGTTGGTATAGTACCCCACCTTCACCCATCGAGTGATTTATTTTTTAGTTTCCCATAAGTAAGGTAGGTAGGTAGGTAGGTAGGTAGGGGCAGGGCAGGGGCCGGCCAGGTTTTTGCAGAATTTCAGCATGAATGATACCCGGCCAAGCAAGAAGTACACACACCTGTCGCGCGCGCAATTTCTCGTTCACACTGGCGGAGACGCGCTGGCAGCGGGGCGATGCCCCTGCTGGGCAGCTACGGCGAGGAACGACGCCGTACGACGCCGTGAACTCGTCCAGTTCGTTACAGTGGGTCTGTACTCCGAACGCCCGCCCTCCCACCCGCCGCCGCTGCCGCCTCCGTCGCCGCCACCCTCGGGCGGGACTTCACCCCCGCGTACGCCGCGTCCATACAGCCCAATGGACACCAGAAGCCTCGCTTTAACGGCCGTCACGGGCGGCACGCGTCGAACCGGCACGACCGGAGTCGGGAGCACAACGGGCCGGCTCAACGCCATTGCTGACGGCGTCAATGTCTTCTACGGCGACCTCGAGGAGGAGACCAAGATTCGGAAGCAGGTGAGGCAGGGCCCGGTTGCGGACCGGCGTGCCCGGCCGCAGCGCCTGCCATCACCACTCGCAACGGCCAGCCCTTGCCCCGCCGCCCTTTTCAGCGCCACTGCTCTGGGCACAGGCTGAGGAGAAGCGCGTGGCGAGGATGGAGCGCGAGCTGGGGAAGGTGGAGACCGTGATCGCCGCGGAGACGCGCCGCAGGATCGAGGCCTCCAAGGCTTTGCAGGTCATGTTCGAGTCGCAGCTCGAGAAGCTTCAGGTCGAGTTCAAGGAGTCGCTCCGCGAGTCGTACGAGCCGCTGCAGGCAAAAGCCGGCCCCGCCCCTCCTCTCGACGCACTCGCTTTAGCCTCGCCCTTGTACTCCCCCTCCCGTTGCCATCAGGCGCAGATTGACGCTCTGGTTGCGCGCGTAGAGACGATCGAGGCGACTCTCGTGGAGGAGAAGCGCGACAGGGAGCTGGCAGTGCAGCGAGCGAATCGGGACGTTGTCGACAACTTTGCGGAGCACGTCAAGCAGTTTGATGTCGAGAAGGTGGTGCGGCTGCAGAGGGAGGCGCAGACGCTGAAGCGGGTCGGCGACGAGGTCTATAGAGTGCAGCAAAAGGCGGCCACGGTCGGGTCTGTGCACAATCAGGCGGCGGCCTGCGTCTCACTCGCCACCGAGGCTGCACAGGTGACCGCCGAGCGGACGGCGCGCGAGGCGGCGATCGTGCTAATGAAGGACGACTTTGCGGCGGCGCTCGAGGTGCGCGACAAGGCAGATGAGGTCTTCAAGGCGGAGGTCTTCCGGAAGGCAGCCCGACGCCGTCACCCTTTCTGCACCCACTCATCTCGAGCCTCAAGCCCGGCCCTGACCCCGGATTTTTCACGCCAAAAGGTGGCAACCGTCGAGAGCGCACTCGGGGTGGAGACGAACGCGCGCATCGCCCTCGCCTGCAGCGCGGCCATGCAGCGAGGAAAGCATTCGCGCCGTGTGAATAGGCGCGGCTTGCCTCCGAGGAGCAGCTGGTGGCGGCGCTGAATGACTACACGACGGCGCTGCAAGACGGCCTCAAGATTGTGCATCGGGCCCAGTAGTGAGGCTGACGCAGTTCGTAGATATCGTTGTGACGTTCGTGTGAGGGGAAGGGCACCGCACATCTCGCGTCGACGAGAAAGGGAACTCTACCGTCGGGCTTCTACACTGTACGAAGCTGCCGATCGGCAACCCGTTCCCCATGTCTCTCTGCGGTACTAATTCTACTACGGGAGGTCCAGTGCAGTGCAGTCTGCAGTGGTGCGGGCGCACTTGGATCACTTGGAGAGTGCAGTTGGCAACCTCACACCCAGGGCCAGGGCGCTAAGAAGCGCTCCCAGCGGGCCGGATGCTCGGCCGGGGGATGGTTGATGCATGATGGCGCAGGGAAGTAAAGACGAGCCTCCGAGTTTTTTTTCTTTTTTCGCTCTAGCGCGCCAGTCCCGCGAGAGCAGTTGGTTGTAGTGGTGGGGCAAGGGGGGGCGACCCTCGCATCTCCACGCCCGGGACGGGACACGGGCAGGAGCCCCACGGCATTCACAGTGCAAGCACGCCCACCGGCCCGGGGTGCCGTGGGTGAGCAACCTGCACCCCACTCCCTCCCTCCCAAACACAGGACCCGCACACAACCCCCACAGCGTGGACGTCTACGTGTTCAGAAACACACCAAGCAGCGAGGCGAGGGTGAAGGGGTAAGGGGCTGTGTGGGGCAGAATCTCCATCTGACTACTCCATCTAGCCTGGGGGGTCGCAGGAGGGGGGGGCTGAGCGTACAGTCTTTTTTGGCTCCCGGTTGTCTCTCGCTGTTTGCCCGCCTGCTCGTCGGCCGGCCCACGGTCGCCTGACGACGACGAGTCAAGGGCCAGCCCAACACACCTCACGCCAAGCACGCCGAACGTTGCCAGACGATGCCAGACAAGCATAAATTCGTGCAGCTCAAGGATGAGGGCGTGCCGTCAGCGCCGAAGCGCTGGAACACAGCGACGCCGCCCTCCGTCTCGCGCAAGGGCTCGGTGCAGCACCTGTGGGACGAGGCGGACTCGTCTGCGCGCAAGCTCGCCGCACAGGCTCGGACGCGCGACTCGTTGAGCCAGTCGCCCGTGCTGCGCAGCCCGAGCGGCGCCGCAATCAACTCGATGGCCATCCTCAAGCGGACGCACACCGCTCCGACATCAAGCATCGCCGCCGCCGCCGCGGACGCCGCGTCGGCGCGAGGGTCGGCGCGTGGCAGCTGCTTCTCTCCGCCGCCGCTCCCTCCGAGGGACGCGTCGAGGGACCTCTCCGTCTCCTTCGGCAGCGAGTCGGCCTCTCCACCCGCCTCCGCGCCTCCCTCCGGCCCTCCTCCGCCCTCGGGCCCTCTGCCCGCCGGCCCCCCGCCCTCGGGCCCGCGGCGGGCGTGGTTCACCGACCTGCCGGAGGAGGAGGAGGCGGACGAGGAGGGCGGGGCTGCTGGAGGCGACTTCGCCGCCCTCGGCGGAGGAGGAGAGCGGGGAGCGGTAGCGGTCACGCGGCGCTCGTCGCGCGTGCAGCGGTACGGCTCGTACGAGAGCGACTCGTCCTCCCGCGGGGCGGAGAAGGGGTGGGACGGGAGGTACGGCGGCCGCTCCCCCGCTCGCGCCCTCTTCGTCGGGGGAAAGAGCAGGTGAGTGAGTCGTAGCTGTACACACACACACACACAAGAGCAGGCCGAGCAGCAATGCCTCGGCTGCACGAGAATGTGACCTCATGCCATCGATCTCAATCTGCTGTTAGGTCGGGCACCAAGGCCTCCTTCGGCTCGGGTCGAGCGCCCATCCGGGCAGGCCCGCCCTCGGCTCCTCTCATCCTGGCGCGCTCCTCTTTCGGGATGTCGAAGCGAGGCCTCTCCACCTTCGACGCCTTCATGACCACCTGCGAGACCATGTGGGGCGTCATCATCTTCCTCAAGTTCGGAGGCCTCGTCATCTCCTCGGGCCTCCTCGTCACCCTCGCCGTCATCGCGACCTGCACCGCCGTCCAGGTGCTCAACTCTCTCGCCTGCTCCGCCGTCGCCACCAACGGACTCCACTCGGGCGCGTACCAGCTGCTCGTCGCCAACCTCGGCACGACTTGGGGCACCGCCACCTCGCTGCTGTACTACCTGGGCATGTCTGCTCTAGCGACCGTCGAGATCTGCGGCGCTGTGGAGGCGGTCGACGCGGGCCTTGAGGCGGAGGCGTGGGGCCCGGACGTGGTCACGGAGTCTCAGTACTACGACGAGGGCTTGCTCGGTTCGGCGGCGCTGGTGCTGCTAGCGCTGCTGCGCGGCTTCAACTCACACGCCGTCCACGTCATCGGGGTGGTGGTCATCGTCGTGCTCCTCCTCACCCTCGCTTCCACCCTCGCCGGCGCACTGCGCACCTTCTCGCTCTCCTCCCTCCAGTCCAACCTCCTGCCGCCCCGCGGCGAGGACGCGATGGGGTACACTGAGCTCTCTTACCTTTTCACCTTCATCTACCCGTGCTTCGCCGGGCTCTTCCAGTCCGTCAACAAGGCGGCCGAGCTGCGGACTCCGTACGTCTCCGTCCCGCGCGCCATGCTCGGCGCCGTGCTCTTCACTGGCATCGGCCTCTCCCTCATCGTCGTCGCCATCGCCGCCTCCGCCCCTCGCGGCGAGCTCTCCGAGACCGACTTCCTGCTGCACGCCTTCCCGTCCAAGTACGTCGGGCTGGGCGGCACAGTCGTGGTCGGGATCGGCTCGTGCGTCTCCTGCCTCGACGAGATTGCCCGAGATTACCCGAGATCCTCCGAGAGTAGGTCGGGATCGGCTCGTGCGTCTCCTGCCTCGACGTCGCTCCGACCATCCTCCGCACCATCGCCGCGAGCGGCCACGTGCCAGGCGCCGAGTCGCTCGGGCTGCACCTGCTGTCGGGTCGCCACTCGGAGCCTCAGCGCGCCACCGCCTTCACGCTCCTGCTCGCCGTCCCCTTCGCGTGGCTTGGCGGGCTCGAGATGGTCGCCCTTATCGCGGCGATGCTCTTCCTGCAGATGTACCTCACGATGGACGTCTGCTGCTGCCTGCTCGCCTCGCTGCGCGCCCCCGGGTGGAGGCCGCGATTCCCAAACCCAAAGGCGTTCCCGCTCGCGCCGGCCGCCGGCGCGGGCGCCGCGCTCTGCGTGGTCACGTTTTACATGCTGTCCTTCAAGCTGGCGCCGCTCATGCTGATGGCGGTCGTCCTCCTTGGCTTCGTCATCTCGACGGCCTCCGGCGACGACGAGCTCGGTGCCGGCGCCGCCACCACCGGCCTCTTCTACACGATCGCGCTGCAGGCCTTGCACGCCATCGGGGAGGACGTGGCGCTGCAGGACGCCGACGGCGCGAGGGAGGCGCCACAGTCGTGGCGGCCGCAGCTGCTCTGCCTCCTCCCCTCCCCCTCCACGATCGGCACGTCGTACTCGCCCGCCTCCCTCTCTGCCGACACTGCGGCGGAGGAGGACGAGTCTGCTCACGACCGGCGCGCGCTCGGCCAGCGGCCTCCGACGCGGGAGGAGGCGAGGCTCGACGCGGAGGCGGGCGAGGTGCTCGCGCTGGCGCACCACCTCAAGGAGGGGCGCGGCGTCACCATCTGCGCCACCGTCGTCACGAGCGGCTCGGAGCTGTGCTCTGAGCGCGAGCTCTTCGTCGCCGCCAAGCACCGCCTGCTCCGGCTCGCGGAGCGAGCCCGCGTCAACGCCTTCACCGACGCCGCAGTGAGCCCCTTCTTCGGCCTCGCTGCCGGCGTGCTCTTCAACGCGGTCGGCGTCGGCGCGCTCCGTCCAAACACGCTGCTGGTCGGCTGGCGGTTCCGCCGCACCGGCCCCGAGCTGCCGTCCTCCAAGCCGTCGCTCTCGTCGGACGGGTCCGGCGAGCTGGCGGAGCTGTCAGCGTGGCGGAGCCTCGACCAGCGGCTCGGCCTCTCGCCCCCCGTGGAGGCGGCGGGAGGCGGCGGCAAGGGGGGAGGCGAGGTGGGCGGCGAGGCGGAGGAGGGCGGCGAGGCGGAGGAGGGTGGCAGCGGCGACGAGCGGGAGGAGTCGCAGGACGCGACCGAGTTGCTCGAGTCTCTCGAGCGCGCGATCGGGTTCGGCAAGGCGGCGCTGCTGCTGTGCACGCACGAGGGCGATTTGCCGTGGGACCGAGGGTACATGCCCTCGCACCCGCTCTCGGTCCGGTCCACGATCGACGTGTGGTGGGTCGACCAGTCGGGCGCTCTGCCGCTGCTGATCGCGCATCTGCTGCAGCGGCACGAGGCGCTCTCGTGCTGCAGGCTGCGCGTCTTCACGCCATCTCCCCATATCTCACCCACATCTCACCCATATCTCACTCATATCTCGTGCTGCAGGCTGCGCGTCTTCATGCCAGCGCAGGAGACGCGCGGGAAGCTTCTCCTCTGCTCGAGCCCTCTCGGGACCGTCCGAGAGCCTTTTCACAGGAGACGCGCGAGAACCTCTTCGGCGTGGCTCGCGCGCGCAAGGGCGAGGAGGACCCCAGGCACTTCCCCGGCGGGGGAGACGTCGGCCTGGGGCGTGTCCGCGACACTCCTCGGACCGCCTTGTAGGCACCTGCCGGGCGACGGAGACCTCGGCCTCGACGTGGACCACCCCGACGCGAGCACGACCGAGCTGCGGCTGCGCCGCTTCCTCAAGCTACTCCGCATCCCGGCCTCGCACGTCGAGGTGAGGGTTGGGGTTAGGGTTGGGGTTAGCCTCGCACGTCGAGGTTAGGGTTGGGGTTAGGGTTAGGGTTGGGGTTGGGGTTGGGGTTAGCCTCGCGCGTCGAGGTGCCGCTCGAGCGATGAGAGTTGTCGTTGAGCAGTCCGGTGCTCCACAGTCCCGATGCTGCTCTTCCGATGCTGCTCTTCCGACGCCGCTCTTCCGACAGGTGGTCCGCGAGCTGGTCAACCTGCAGGAGGGCGGAGGCGACGCCCACTCCTCGCTGCGCCGCTCGCCGCCCGCCTCCAAGGAGCCCTCCATGGAGGCGTCCATCTCCATCGAGGAGCAAGCAAGCGCGACGCCCGTCGGGGTGCCAGTCGCGAGCCCGCTCTACCGGGGCTCCTCCGGACCTGTCCTCTCCGACCCCGCCACGGCAGCTTCCCCGGCCGCCGCGCCGAGCCCGTGGAAGCGAGCGGGCGCCGCCGTGCGTGCGCACGCGCGCTTCCGCGGTGCTCGGCTCGCCCGCCCCGCCAGCGTGCATGGCGGCTCGCCTCTCTCCACACGCCTCCCGCTGCGAACAGGCCCCCAGCTCGCCTGCCTCTCCGCGTCGATGGAGGGCCTCCCCTCCGTTGCGGCGGCCGACGGCGACGGCGGCGAGGCGGCGGGCCACCCTCGCGCCTCGTACGGCGCGCCAGCTTTCCTCTGCCGCCCCCCGATGGCGGGCACGGCGGCGGCGGCGGCGGCGGCGGCGGCGGTGGCGGCGGCGGCCGCAGCCGCCGCGGAGATCAGCGAGCGCCGCTCCGGAGGCGACCCTTCCGAGGCGGCGGGGGCGGTCGGCGCCGAGTTCTCGAGCGTGGAGCGCAAGACAGCGCTGATGCAGTACGCCGACGGGATCGACTCGCAGACGGCGATGATCCGCCTCTCCGCTTTGCCATCTAATGCGTCACACGCCGAATGAGGTGAATTGAGTTGTTAGGCGATGAGCCACCTCAACTCGGTGATCCGGCGCCGGATGACGCGGCAGACCGCAGCTCGCCCTCGTCCTGCTGCGCGTGGACCCCTCTTCTCCGCACCTCCTCGGAGCCGCACTGTAGGCACACGCTGCTCGTGGTCACCGACTTGCCTCCGCCCGACGAGCTGCACGCGGCGTCGCCTCTCTCCTACTCGTCCCTCCTCCGCACGGCGTGCGACGGCGCGCCGCCCACGCTCTTTGTGTACGGCGGCACTGCCCACGCGGAGCCAGAGGCGTACGTGGCACACGGGTAGCCTGGCTTGGCTTGGCTTGACTTTCCAGAGGCGGCGAGGCGGCTGCAAGCTCCCAAGCGCCTCGCCTCGTACTGTAGACCCCTCCACCTGGGCCGCGGCGGCGCCGTCTTTTGATTAGTATGAAAAGGTACTAGATAATCTATATTTGGGTACGAAAGAAATCCTTTTATATCGTTTATCCTTTCTCTCTGCACTCTGGCGCGAGACCGAGGAGCAGTGGACCGCTCTTCTGATTAGTGATTTTTTGTTCTCGCGTGTGTGAGGGAATAAAAAATAAATTTAGAGCCGAGAACAAGAAAAATCTCAGACGTATATACGGCGCTCCGAGAGGAGTTGCCCGACTGCCGCGCGACACGCATGACATGCACATCGCGCACACCATGTGTGCGCACGCACGCACCGACTGCACACGCCCGGCTCTACCCCATAAACACATCTCGGTGTGCAACCCCCAGAGCCCCCAGCGCCCTGCCGCAAGAGACCGCCTCCCCGGGAATACCCATACCACAGAGCTGCTCCTGCGCCTCACATTGCTACCCGACCGCACCCACACCCCAAATGGCATTCAGCGGCTCTGCACGCAGCGTCACATCCCACCGCCCCGTCCACGCCGCCGCCCGCCTGCCACCGGTCACAGCAGATTGTCCGAAAAGCGGTTGGCGTCCTCGGCCTGCTGCTGCTGCTGCTGCGGCATGACAGGCGCCATGCCCATGGCCCCCGCCATCTGCTGCTGCTGCTGCAAGACTTGCTGCTGCATGAGCACCTACGGACGGGAAGGTCGCCACTGAGGAGACTGGGGGGAAACCCCTCCTCGCCGCTGCGTCACAGCGCCTGCTGCTGCATCGCCATTTGCTGCTGCATCGCCGCTTGCTGCTGCTGCCACATGGCGCGCTGCTGCTGGGCAGCGCGCTGCTGCATGACAGCCTACTCCGGACGCGGCAGCGGTGAGCCCGCGCCACGTGCACCCCTTGCCTCGCACGAGGTCGGCACAGCCTGCTGCGGCGTGACGAGGGGCGTGGGGATGCACCTCGCGCTCCCGCGGCCGGGCGAGCCGCCCATCGCCCCGAAGTCGGCGCTCAGCTGCGAGAGGTCTCCGCCTAGGACAGTCGAGTCCGAAGCCGAGTCATTGCAGCGAGCTGCTCAGCGTGGCGCGCGGCTGAGAGCGGTCTCTGCCCATCGAGCGCAACGCCGCCGCCGTCGGAGCGGACGCCATCGCCTTGAGCGCCCCCATGGCCACCTTCGGTGCTGGTGGCGGCGCCGGTGCCGCCGCGCCGCCCTTTGGCGCGGTGAGGTCCGCGAAGTTGACGACCGACCTACTCCGGCCGGCGGAGTGTCGAGGGCCGGTGCCGAGGGGGTGCCAAGGAGGTGTCCAGGGGGTGCCCCTAGGAGTGTCGAGGGCCGGTGCCCAGGGGGTGCCAAGGAGGTGCCCAGGGGGTGCCCCTAGGAGTGTCGAGGGCCGGTGTCCAGGGGGCCTCTCTAGGCGTACTAGGGGCGGGAGGGGGAAGTGTCGAGGCTAGGAGGTGTCTAGGAGGTGCCCAGGAGGTGCCAAGGAGGTGTCCAGGGGCGGGGAGGGGCGCACTCAGCGAGGGACTCGAGCGAGTGCGGGTCCTTTGGCGGCGGAGGCCCGGCCTCGGCAGGGCCGGGCAGGGCGGTGCCGCCGCCAGCCGAGGCGGAGGTGGAGGCGGAGGCCCGGCCTCGGGAGGGCCGGGCAGGGCGGTGCCGCCGCCAGCCGAGGCGGAGGTGGAGGCGGAGGCGGCGCCCTTGGCTCCGTCTGCAAGGATGGCCTCGAGCTCCTTCTTGAGGGTGGCGGCGGCGGCGTAGTCCTGAAAGGGCGGAGGAGGGGCAGGGGGGGTTGGGGAAAGCGGC